TTAGCTAGTGACACATGTCCACTATTTTTTTTTTAATCTTAAATTTGATCTTTCATAAATTATATCAAACTTCTAATATTTACTCTTAGATCCCTAGCCATAAACTTTTAATATAATATTATTTAATATAAAATAATTATTAAATAATCCTTATTTTTACAAACAAACCTTTTACTAATTTTTTTTTTAAATGGGGGATGTTACACTCTCCCCTCCTTAAAGAAAATTTAGTTCTCTAAATTTATTATACCTCATTCGATGAAAAGATAAGGATAAGCTTTCATCATTTCTTCCTCAAGCTCCCAAGTTGTTTCCTCTCCAAAATGATATCTCCAGATCACTTTAACTAGAGGGATAACCCGATTCCTAAAGATCTTTTCTTTTTTATCAACAATCTGAGTGGGCTCTTCCACATAAGACAAGTCTTTATCAATCACCATCAGCTCATACTTAATGATATTAGAGGGATCAGGTATATACTTTCTGATAATTGAAACATGAAATATATCATGGATATGGCACAATGATGGTGGCAAGGCAATCCTGTAAGCGACAGAACCAACCCTCTCAAGAATCTCAAAAGGTCCAATAAATCTTGGGCTTAACTTTCCTTTCTTCCCAAATCTTACAATGCCTTTAGAAGGGGAGACCTTCAGGAATACAAAATCCCCGACTTGAAACTCAATATTTCGTCTTCTGTTATCAGCATAACTCTTTTGACGACTTTGAGCAGTCTTTAACCTTTTTCTTATAAGTTGAATTTTCTCAGTAGTCTCTTGTACTTTTTCTGGTGCTAATAACTTTCTGTCGCCAATTTCTTCCCAACATATAGGCGTCCTACACTTTCACCCATATAAAGCTTCATAAGGAGCCATCTGAATACTTGAATGATAACTATTATTGTAAGTGAACTCAATAAGAGAGATATATTTATCTCATTCACCTTTCCAATCCATAACATAGGCTCTAAGCAAATCCTCAAGTGTTTGAATGGTTCTTTCTGATTGACCATCAGTTTGAGGGTGATAAGCAGTGCTAAACTTGACTTTAGTGCCAATAGATTCCTGTAACCTTCTCCAAAATCTAGATAGAAATCTGGAGTCTCTGTTAGAGATTATCTCCTTTGAAACACCATGAAGTCTTACTATTTCATTTATATATAAATCTGCTAGCCTATCAAGAGAATAAGTTATATTGATCGGTAGGAAATGTGCATATTTCGTTAACCTATCAATGATAACCCAAATAGCATCATGCTTTCTAGAAGTTTGGGGTAGTCCTGAAATAAAATCCATGGTAATACATTCCTATTTCCATTCAGGAATATCTAAAGGATGTAACAAACCTCCGGGTCTTTGGTGTTCTGCTTTGATTTGCTGACAAGTCAAACACTTTGAAACATATATTGCAATCTCCTTCTTCGTGCCTTCCCACCATTCACTTCATTCTTATCCAAAACTTGTATAGAAACATAGCCAAAGCTTTGGATATCATATCAAACACATAGAATGTGAAGTGGGATCATAACATAATATGGTCCATCCATTTCTGAATGACCACCAAACATAAGTCTCCCATGTTTGGGAGCTCCATCCCATATGTTTCGGTTAGCAATTCTAATCCAAAAATTTCAAATCAGGTATATACAGAAAGAATTTTGAGTCTCTTCGAATAAATCATACTTTGTATGAATCTGAGTTCACGGTAGAAAGTTATAAGTATTTAAGCAACAAGAGGTCAGAAATTTCAGTCCCTGTTTTGCAGAATCTGTATGGTTAATTTAGACAGAAGTCTTAGTAGGTATTTAAACTCCAAATCATTCGATCTTTATATCAAAATAAAGATTTTCTTGTCTAATTTCAAATGGAATAGGTTTTGTCTAAATCAGAGTTTATTACAAAATGTTATGACCAAAACATTGCATAGAGGTTAGATTACCGAAAAATTACAAATTCATGGCTTTGTATCAAAACAAAAGAAGGTCTAGTTCTCAGTTGAAATCTCTTAAATTTTACAAAATAAAAATAGAAACAGAGATTAATGTTACTGTGGGATGGGGTTAGAACACTTGCCTTAAAATTATTTGAATCCTAAATGTGGGAAAATTGATGAAAAACCTCAAGCTCTTCTTTTCTTCTTCTTCTTTTCTCAAACTCACGTTGGCTACAACTCTTGAGGTTTGTTTTCTTTAACCTTTTATCTAATTATTTGGGTTTTGGCTAATGCAAAAGTTGTAAGGTATCATGCATGCATGAAAGGGGCTAAGTGTCATCTTTAGAGCAAAGATAAGTGGCACCAACCTTAGGTTAGCTAGTGACATATGTCCGCTATTTTTTTTTTAACTTAAATATGAATCTTTCATAAATTATATCAAACTTCTAATATTTACTCTTAGGTCCCTAGTCATAAACTTTTAAAATAATATCATTTAATATAAAATAATTATTAAATAATCCTTATTTTTACAAACAAACCTTTTACTAATTTTTTTTTTAAATGGGGGATGTTACAATAGCACAAGCCCAAACTTTTTTGGAAAAGTTATCTATAAAAGTGACAAAGTAAAATGCATTACTAATACCAGAAACATTAACAGATCCACTAGAAATTTTTATTCTCAAAGGACTAAATATATCTGCATAAATACGGTCTGAGGCATGCAACTTTCTAGACAAAGTAGAACTAACAAATGAATCTCTATATTATTTACCAACAAAACAATCAATACAATGATTCAGACATGTATCTTTGAGGTTTGACAATACCTATCTCTTGGAAAGAACTTACAGTCCCTTCTCGCTTATGTGTCTCAGTCACCTATGCCACAACTTTATCCTAAAGTCATTCTATGTAGCGTTTAACTATTCACCACAAGCTTTAGCCTGTAACTTGTATAAGGTATAATATTTCTTTCCACTAGCTATAACAGGAGAACTTTTACTGAGCTTCCATTGCCCTCTATGAAATCGGCCTTTCAACTGAAATTAAATTTAGTCTTAAGTCAACCACATGCCTCATATTCTTAAACACCAACTTGCAACTAAGATTGGTCTTTATATAGATATCACCCATGCTAATGATGTATGCCCTACAATAGTTGTCTATCTTGACAACACCAAAATTTTTAGACTTCTGAGTAGCAAACAACTCCCTCCGTGATGTAACATGATAAGAAGCACATATGTCAATCACCCACTCAAGATCCTGACATACAAGAAAAAATATTATCAAAAGGAGACAAAATCAGATAATCACCACTCTGTACTATAACTGTGGTATTATCTTTTGATTCTATAGGCTCTACTTCTTTCCTATTTTTCTTGTTCTTCTTAGGTTACTTGTATTGATTCTTGTAATGTCCTTTCTCACTATAGTTATAGCAAACAATATCTTTTCTTGATCTTGACTTGCTTCTACCCATGCATGAGTCGCTTCTATCCTTGGATTTTGACCTGACGTAGAATTACTAAGGGAAACTACTAGTGTCTCCCAACTTTCTAGCAATGAACTGAGAAGTAATATCGCTTGCAACTTATCATCAAGAGATATTTTCATAGAGGATAACTGGTTAGTTATACTCTGCATTTTATTAAAATGCTCGGCGATAGAAAAACCCTATTTATATTTCAGGTTTTCAAGTTTTCTAATCAAGAAAGCTTTATTGTTAGTTATTTTTCTTTTATAGAGACCTTCAGTTTTTTCTAAAGAGAGTATGCAGAACTTTCAGTAGAAACATGATAAAAGACATTGTCATCAAACCATTGTCGAATAAACCCAACTATTTTTCAGTATAATCTTTTCCACTCATCATCTGTCATAGTTATGTGTGTTACACTATTCCCTTACAAAGTCCATACAAACCCTTGTAATACAAGAGATCTTTCATTCATGATTTCCATGTTATCCAATTGTTTCCATTCAAGCTAACCATGCGAGAAGTACTATCGATTTTCATGTTTGAATACAAAAATTAAATCATAAAAACCTTACTTTGACATAAGTTGATGGGATAAAAAAAACTTTTTATATGAACAAATACAAGTAGGTCGTAACACATAATGGAATTATACAGAAATCACAATCAAATAGGACAGTAAGATTTACGTGAAAACTCATCCAATATGAAGGGTAAAAATCACGAGACAAGCTAGAGAAAATCCATTATAAGAATAATAAATATATAAATATCAGAATCTCTTGCTCAAAACCCAAGCAACAATCACAAGAGAATAACTAGGATATAATGATTATGTCACTGTGCAGAATATCCAAAATCTCCCTAAGGAATTACAACGAGAGTTTACTATAAATCTGATCTAACTTAAGGTGATAATACTGCATGGATGATTACAACAGTCTCTGAATTGTCCTTGTCTTCTTCTCTTTCCTTTTTCTCTTATTTTTTTTCCCTAACTATCATTGTTGTTTCTCTTTTTTTTCACAACCACCGCTGCCCCCTTTTTCTTCTTTAGTTACCACACCTATTAGTGGTTAAAAAGGTTAGGATTTAGATTAAATGAAAAAATAGAGTTGAGACTAAAGTGGATTGTAGACTATTAAAGTGACTATCAGCTGAATCAATGGGCTGTCCGCCGACAGAGATCGATATATATATATATATATATATATATATATATATATATATATATATATATATATACACGCAATCGCCAGCCCACATGACATCTATTTGGTGGGACATTAACGCTTCTGATTACCTGAGAGTGTGATCATGTCATCTTGGCTCAAACCTTTCTTGGTAAAGAATGGAGTGAGGGGGCTGAGGTTAAAGGCTGGAGGAGGGAGATCGATCACATCGGCAGCCCTGGAAATCCTTACATTCCTTCGTCCTGCAGGGACTTGGTAGAAACCTTTCTGTACTGCATTACCAACGATTTGCAAGTTGACAAGTATTACAAGACTCTAATTATATTGTACTGCGTGCTTTCAGTTTGAAACTGGATGAAGAGGAAGAAGAAGAAGAAGCAGGGGAACGTTACGTGTACAACACTATCTCTGGCTGCGAACGCGAGAATGTCTGCGCACGAGACTTTCCCTCTGCAGACAGCCTCCAACCTTCTCTTCGCTCTGTCAATGACTTCGAATCCTCGAAGGCTTTTGTCGGGAAGTGTATCCTTCTCTGCAGTACTTCTCCATGTTGAATCGATAAGGACCGATCCATCACAACACTGATACGATCATATAACAGGATTGTACAACAACCAAGATGAAGAAAGGTACGTAATGGAGTAATATTTGACAGAAGGAACTAACCCTCACAAAACGGTCACGGAAGTGCAGCCTGAGAAGGCCGGCAGCGATGCCAGGATTAGCCCTTACAGCCTTCTCAACCTCCTGCTTGACAATGAGCTCAGGTTTAGGGCAGATACGGGAGTAGAACCCCACTCTGAGCTGGGCTTCTGTTCTTGTTGCTGCGATCAGGCACAAGGCCACGACGATGGCAAGTGGCGTCGCTCCTCTTCTCAAAGCCATCCCTCCCCCTCCGCTCTCTCGGAGATATATCGATGTGATGCAATGAGGCCTTCCACTGCATGCCCTATTTATAACGACGCGATCATTTCTCTTCCCCTCCCGTTCGTGGTGCCAACCACGACGTGCATGTAAAGCGGATATTGATGTCGGTCAAGCTGTCCATGCCCAACTTTGTTACGTGAGTCTTTCCCTACGTGCAAGATGTCGAGGGACCTATAACGGTGCTTTTTGTGGTGCTAATTGTAAATTGCAACATGTACGGTGCATGAGATATGCCAAGACCTGGTAACATGTCAAGGAGACTGGAACCTGCTGAAGCATCTTATGTACGAATGGATCCTTATCCGCTATTAATTTACTTGGTGCTGAAATGTATAGTCCATTAACTAAAGGTTTGAGGTCGGCGATCGCAGCGTATTCTAATCAGTGCAGAGCTGTCATCCTCAGAAACTTTGACCGTGTCAAGTGACTAAATAACAGTTTCTTGAATCAAGTAGTAATCGAGATCATACGGCGGCTTGTGGTTGGATACTATGGACTGAAGTGCCATTTCCTTTCATTTAGCCTCGTTCTGGAGCTACAGTGAGTATTTACTGTAAACACACAAAAGGATTGATTTTGGTGTAAACTTAATGTGTCGAATTCTTATTCGACATATTTGTTCTAATTCGAGTTAATTAAAAGTAAATCATTCCCACTGAGTTATTCCAATAGGTTCTAATCAAGACTCCAAGTGGTGACACCTCAATCGGGGCCACGAATTGGATGCAATTGGTCAACTCGTGTAGGATTAATAGAATTGGAATAGAGAATCTATCAAATCTACGGATGAAGACCTGCGGTAAATAAGGTTCCAGTTTGTGGAACCTCAGTCAAAGCCAGAGACTTAGTGCAGCCAACACTGTAATAGAGTATGAGTCCCATTTAATTTGCTCGATTTGCGAGACTGACAGAACATAAATGAACTTAATTTCTCAAACATGTCATTCACACTAATTCTTATTCATCGATGAAACACACACCAAACAATAAATGAAATCTCTTAATGCCCCATTGGTGATCTAACCTCAGGGATATAAGAGATTAAGAAAAATGAGATCCAATAGAACGGCGTATATTCCGGTGATCCGCGCTCATCAGTTGACTACCCTGCAGTTGGTACGTATCTCGCCTTGTTCACCGGTGAGGACGCCGATGCTCCCCATCTTCACCATGGCAGCTGCAAACTTCTTCTTGAAGAGCGCAGGCTTTTTGGCAAACCGCTTCACCAACGTCGCGGTACCGTGCTTGGACATGAGGGTCTGGTCCGATGTGAAGAGTCCGCGGTGCGCTAGGAGGTTCTTGTAGTAGCTGCTGTCGAACGTGAGGGGGCTTGGCGGATCCATGTCCACCTCGTTATCGCTCCCAGTTGGGCACTGGCCCCTCAGTTGGGCAGCATAGTTCGGGCCCAAGCTCGGGTCGGCCTTCACCGTCTGGCTGAAGTTGTAGAGCCTGTCGGAGAAGGCAGAACAGTGCGCGATGCCGATGGTGTGAGCTCCTGTGTACCAAAACGACACCGCAGTCGTCGTTACTCAGTGCCATGCACGAGGAGTTGATACCCTAATTACCATTCCAATCTTCACATACCTGAGAGAGCGACCATGTCGTCACGGCTCAACCCTTTCGAGACGAACAACTTCGTGAGATTACCAAGTTTAAATGTTGGAGGAGGGAGATCGATCGTGTCATTTGATCTGGAGATCCTTCCATCTCTTCTGCCTGCAGGGACTGGGTAGTGAACTCCTCCGTACTGCACAACGCCGGTTCGATTCCGAGTTAGAAAGAGTTCTACATCGTAAACTGGAGTCCATAAACTATAAATCGATCGCTTCTAAGTCACTGCTACTGATTTTTCTCATGGTGTAGAAGACCAAGTTAACCTAATGACCACTATGCTCTGGTAATCATGCGAGTGTGGAGTCAAAGAACGTTACATGTGCAACACTGTCTCGGGCGAGGAATGCAAGAATGTCTGCGCATGAGACCGTTCCTTTGCATTCAGCCTCCAACCTCTCCTTGACCTTGTCGATGACTTCAAACCCTTCATCTTCAACGGTTTCGTTGGGTTTCCCATCCTTCTCGGCGGCATTGTCCTTGGTCGAGTCAATGAGAAGTGAGCCATCGCAACCCTGACACGATCCATCCCGAACACAACGTCAATCTCATTTACTCTTCAGCACATCCTGAGAAGGTCAGGTAAACAAGTAAGATAAGGTGTCAAAGAGGAACTAACCCTCACGAAACAGTCATGGAAGTGCATCCTGAGAAGGTCAGAGCCAATGCCCTTGTCTTCCTGCAGAGCCTTATCAAGCTCCTCCTTAACGATCTCCTCCGCTTTAGGACAGCTGTAGGAGTAGAAGCCAACTTTGAGATAGGCTTCTGTCCCCATTGCGCTGAGGCACAAGACCGCAATGATGGCTAGCGACATCTCTCCTCTTCCCAAAGCCATCTTCCTCTAAATCTTAGTGGGCTCGGCTATGTGGTGTTGTGGTGCAATGAGGTCTTGTCCCTCTTTATAGAACAAAGACGCGCCAAATAATGCCCATTATCAGTGGCAGCCCCATGTGAAGCTGGAAGCCGTCACCAAACCATTACCCCTCTCCAGAAACCAAGACAACACCGAGCAGATACGTGAACGAATCACTGTCTTACAGCTCCTCAACACAACGTGGGGCCCCGTCTGGCGACCGGTGACATGAGTGCTTAGCTCGAATGCTGTCCCGCCATTAGCTAATCATGTGCGAGTTTGTCATGCAGCTTCGGCTGCTACTGAAATAACTTAGAGCTTCTGTCGTGGTAAATGTTACAAATAGAAACACAATTCATGTGCACTGTCAGGATGCGAAACAATATGCATTAAGAATCTCCAAAAATCACAGGGGTCGGCTAACTAATGCATATTTTAGCTAGCATTATAGAGTGTGGATGTGGCTAGAGACATGGACGGTTCACCAAGAACATGTGGCCAAAAATGCATATTTTAGAGATAAAATGGTGGATGATCCAGTTGAAAGAACAAGGAATTGATTTGGCTGCTTGCTTCCATGTGAGTGGTCATCGAATTACGCGATCGATGAATTAAGAGTGAGAGATGAGTCGTTCTTTATTCGCATTTTGTGTTGGAGACGAAGAAAATTTTGTGCATTAATGCGGGAGACAGATGGATTTGGGCTGTCCAGCCAACCATCACCCAATATTCTGATGCATGCATTTGCTGTTCGATGTGATCCAGGTTTCAGTGGTTACACCAAGTTGAATCCTGCAAATAACCAATCTGATAAGGATTGCATCGGCTTTATGGCGTTCCTGTTAAGTTCCATATCACAGCGTGGCAACAGTCAAAGAACGTAAGACCTTGTCGGCGACTCTGTACAATAAGCATGCTTGGACCGGATTTCTTGACCTAATTTGGGCCCACACATTATATATAATTTGGACACGTTCCGCTATGACATTACATTTACTTTAGAGCAGCTGTTCTTTGGTGTAGTCTATTAGAGATTAGTAGAGGCCTTCCTGTTAAGAAATTTACACACTATAGAGATCGATTGATGAGCCAATGCTGCTTTACAGCGACAGGATTGTCAAGACAATCCTATTGTCGGTAGTATAATTTGTTCTGAGAAAAAGGTCTGATAATATATGAAACCTTCGTCCCTCTTTCATGTTTCAATTTAATGTGGTTGTTGGTTGGTCGCTGTGCTTGTGAATATTGGATTAGGACATGATGCCTGCTCTCAAGTCTTATCCATCTGTTATTGGGGTTATTTTAATCTCCTCACCATGTGGGTTGAATCACAGGGCTCCACCCGTGGGAGACTGCATCGATCGACTCATGAAGTGGTTGCTAATTTCATCTCGCAACGGGTTTGATTCAACGTCATCGCTGGAACCCATCATAGCAGTTTGTACCCACAACTCGTGGGATCCAATTCGCAATATCCGTTACTGTTAACGGAGCAAGTACGAATAACGGGTATGGACTTCGTTTAGGATCCACATACCCAATATAATAATCAAGCAGTAACAGCTCCCTGCATTATTGGTCATGTGACCAAATGCATCGGACATCACAGAAATAACAGTTGTGCTGAAAATTGTTCTCTTCCAAGAAAATGATGGGGATGGTAACATTTAATCGATTCCCGTAACAACAATAATAAAAAAATTCAAATTATTGTTGTCATTATTAATTCAACTAATCTGAGTAAGTATGAGAGTTAGCGTTGCAATAAGCGACCGATTTGGGTTGGACACGAGACCGCTTCACATCACACGATGAGGACCGACAACTTCCAACTTGCATTTGCTCGTCTGTGGCAGATACCACGTATTGCAATTGTCGAATTGCTCGGTAGTTTCAACTTCTCCATCGGCGGCTTCTACATCAATGATTGCATTGCATTACCATCGACCGTAGCAGGAGATCCAATTCTACATCAATGATTGAAGATATAATACCATAGCCAGTGGTGTGGCTTTTGCTTTGCACTAAAATATAATAAAAGTTCAACACCATAAAGAAAAAGGAGAAAGAAATCTCAGCTCATTTCACCGACACGCACAGATGAGATGATTCCCAAAACATGTCTTTGACACCCTCATTATTCATCAAAGATAGACATATTTCAAGAAGGGAGGAGAAGAAGAAGAAGAAGAATCACATGAAACAATACAGGCAATCTCCAACAAATAAAATATACATATATATATAAGATGATGAAGTACTCCACCGAAAGGGATCTGTCTCGTTTGTCAATGGCAGTCATCATCAGTTGATCTTCCTGCAATTGGCGCGAACCTCGCCCTCGCTCCCGGTGAGGATTCCGATCTCGCCCATCTTCACTATGGCAGCCGCGAACTTCCGCTGGAAGCGCTTGTAGTTGCTCGCGAGCCGCTTCACCTGCGTCGTCGTGCCCTGCGTGGAAAGGAGGGTCTGGTCCGAGATGAACAGCCCTCGG